TCAACGTGAAGTTCAGGAGATTTTGCAGATGAGACCATGAAGTGAGTCCAGAGCTCAGTGGTGCACAAAGGCAGGATCCCTATTGTCCAGCAGATCCACCATGGTGGCCATTGCTTGGTGCTCCAGGGCTTAGCCAGGCTGGTGGCACCCAGGTGGTCACACGCCCAAGGAACAGCAGCATCACAACAGAAGGCAATACTCAAGGAGAAGCACAGCACCTGAGCCTACCCCAGCAGATCTTCCCCACACTCCCACTTCTCTAGGGCCAGCACCAGATCACAGCCACTAGGATCTGCCTCATGTCCATCCTCAACAGCAGCCACCACTCAGAAGATCCAGCCTAGGCAGCAAACAAGAGGGAAAAGGTTTTCTGGGGGCACTGACCTCTCTTTCCATCAATGGGCTCTGCCTCAACTCAGTGCTGGGAAGCCTCAGGGTCCTGCTGGGCCTCTTGCACCACTCCATAGCCACAATCCAGGACTGCTCCTTCCACCCACCACTCGCTTGGACAGATCCCACCTTCAGAGGCCCACCATCTCCTCAATGCCTCCAGACAAGGCTGCTGCCAGCAGCAGCCATGTGGGTGCTCTGAGGGCACCTTGGTCAGCCCACCCCTAAAAGGACTGGAATCTGATGTTTCGGTCCATGACTCACTCCCTGACTCGGAAGAATCTACCACAGACACTCTTCTGGGCTCTGGGTACCCAACACATCAGCCTAGCATCCTACAAGCACTGTTTGGTAAACCACCACCAGCCTCACCCATGTTCTTATGAAGCAGTCCCGTATCCAGCCCCTGCTTTCCAGGGCAAGTCCTGTCCATAGGAGAGTCCTGCCCTCAGGGGTGCTACCACAACTGGAAGCATCTCTTTGCAGAAGAGCTCCAGCCACATTGATAGCCCCAGATGTCTCCTACTGCCCACTCAGAGCCTGGCTTAGAGGCGCTCCAAAACAAGTAGTTTCACATCAGAGACTCAATGTATCCCAACTCCATCACACAAGCAACAGATGAAAATGTGCACCAGGTCCAAGCAGAACACCACAAGCTGTATCACTGTTTCTACGCTTGTGTTGAGCTCTCCCCATCTTCCCAGGAGACCAACTCTGCACATCTTTGCACCCTAGAGTCTTCCAAGACCAAAGGCAGACCTGAGGCTGCATCTTTGATGACTCTTCCCCAAATCACCACCACACAGAGGAAAAAAGTCTACCCAGAACCACTGCAAGGAGTAGTGAGCCAGGACTCAGTTCCTTCAGTTAGAGCTGACACAGCAACCATCCTCCCTACCAACAAGTCCCAGGCCAGGCCATCTTCCCTCTTCCCAAGCTCCCAGTTTCCTACACCACTCCCATCTCTCCCAGGCTGCCAATTCCCTTCATTACAACTCACAAAACCTGTGTCCTGCCTGTGATTTCAGGTTGCAAGAGAGAAGCCAAGCTCCAGGTAGGAACTTGCTCTGTTTCCAGTAACTGGAGAGGAAAGAGGTGAGATTAGACCCATGATTAAGGGCAGGGTCTGTCCCGGTATGCAATTCTGGAACAAAGTGACCGGTAAGTGCTGTTGTCTAACGTGCCCACTAGAATTTAGTTGTGTGCTATCACTATCATGTCACTCACCTCCCCCACCGTGTGCCAGGAGTGAGGTCAAGGTGTATTTCTGGTTGCCCTCGAAGGGTCGTGGTTGGGGAGAAACCAGGTTTCTTTCACGCCAAGCGACAGGGTTGTGCCTGCCCTGGCTCAACCGGGCTGCTCCCTTCCCACCAGCAGGACCTGGCTGAGCCTGGCTCAGCTGGGAGGAGTTGATGTAAGATGGTGCCATGCTGTGTGCGCCATGTCATGTGCTGCCAAGTTGGAGATGTGGGTTAGAAAGAAGGCCTGGTATCTCATTCCCCAGGCTCTGGTGGGTGGGTAGCGTGAGGCCCATGCACTGGGTTGCCAAGGAGATACGGGCTACAGAGATGGGCAGAAGCTTGCAAATCCCATGGTGCACCTTGGAGGAGAGATGGTTACCTTACCAGTCTTTCCAGACGTGGCTGCCATCATGCTTAACACTTCTAGGAATGGAGCTGTAGTACAGCCACTCCACTAGCTGCAAAAAGGCATCACTAGGGTGTCCCATCTCCAGGGACAGCTCTGAGCTTCAGGGCTAGCCTGCGCTGGCATCATGGCTGGAGTTCACTAGGGACATCAAAGGAGGGATTTGAGAGAGGGTGGGAAGGAGGGAAGGCAGATGGGACAATCTTAAAGTCAGTGGAGTCCCCACAGGTAGAGGCTCTTAGCTGTGCAGGGTCAGGCCACAGCCACACGTATAGCAGCCTGGTGCCTGCCAGGAGCATCACCAAGGCACGGCAGCTCAGGGAGCAGCAGGCGCCAAGCAGCTTACCGATGGCTCCCAGTGTGCGAGCTGAGGCCAGGCCAGCCTCGCACCGTCTCCTGTGCCTCGCCACTCCTGCCAGCCCTCTGGGCAGCTCTTCAGGAGGTTGCACGGGTGCATCACAGAGGGCAGCCACCTCCTCTCCCACTTGCTACTAGACTTGAACACATAGCTGCAAGAGGACGAGCACTTCAGGTTTAATTCTTTTCCATCAAGCTCTCAGTTTAGCTACAGCCTTCAACTTCATGCCTGCTTCAGGACTGATTGCTATGGAGCTGCTATGACTCTGGCCATCCCCATGAACATCCTCCAGCCAACACCAGTCTCAGGAGGAACAGCAGCTGTCCTGGAGAATAACCCATGTGCCCACCACCCCAGCGAACCAGCCCCTACCAGTGAGAGCAGAGGGCTCAGTACACCAAGGCTAAGGTTACAGCTTTTAGCCCAGTTTGTGAGCAAAAGTCATCTCACTGACTCACTCCACCCTGCCTCGGCTCTGCAAGGGAGAGGGCTCCAGCTTAGAGACAAGGCAGCTTAGAGCTGCCAGCCTGAGTAATGTTTAACCCCATAAAACTTTATTGGTAACATACACTGCACCAGAATGTCTCCCTGCGAGGTCACCACCGGCTCAAGCACAACACAGCAAGGAGCAGCTGTAACTGCTCACCCAGCCCAGATGCTCTTCAGAAGAGAGCTGGGTCCGGCCATGGCCACGGGCCTGGAGGGGCTACACTGGCTCCCTAAGGCTTAGGGGCATGTTACCACTTACGGACCTCCTTGGGCAGGGAGTTCTACCTATACAGGGAGCTCTCTGGAGCCTCCGGGTCATTCTTCAGGCCAGGAGACCTCTTTGAAAGATAGTAACTTGCCAATTGGAGGGCAGGAACTAAGACCCCAGAGGGAGAAGATCTGGCTGAGGGCCACCTTGACACCTTGCACTTCAGTAGAGTGGAGTTTTTCCTCCCCTACCATGCACCATAAAGTTTTGGTGTCTAACCATTACAGTCACCGATGATCATCCTTGAAGGAACTGCAGTAATGGTTTTACCTCCCTTAACCACCTCAGCCAGGCCAGAGGAGTTTATTTCCTGGTTCTCCCTCGTAGGGGCAATTCAACCAGCAACAGCTCTCAGCTCCACCACCCTTTCCCTGCCCCTTGTGTGTAGGAAGACATCTGCTCTCCTGGGCTGTGCAGGAGCAGAGCGCACTCCTGTAGTTGTGGGCACCATCAATAACAAAGCAAGTACAACCCTGCCCCAGTGAAGGACCAGCCTGGCTCTGGAGGCCCTTGGAAGAACAAGCCAATGCCTTGTCCTGCCCTGGGCGCCACATACTTCTTGCCTACCCTGCAAGAGCTTCAGCCCAACACAAGCTCACCAGTAAAGGTCAAAAGCAGCAGAGGCCTGCAGGTGTGTGAGGGGCAGGACAGACAAGCCTACACAGGCCAGGAGCTTGCATACCTTCCACTGCCTCCATACTGCGTTTGGGAAAAAAGCTTGGGTTGAAGCTGGGCAGTTACAGTCAAGATGCTTGCGGGAAGCCAACTGAGCTGACTGTCAGCCAAGTGGACAAGATGAGGGAACATGGCTCTTCATCCTCTCAATTTAAGCAGGGCAGAGTGGAGCTAAACACCCTGCTCAGCAGGGCAGAGAGCCCAAATGCTCTGAGGTCTGAGCCCAGAGTCCCACTGCCCTAGTCCCCCATGGCACTACTACAGGAGCAGAGACCAAAGCAGGCAGAGCACAGCTGACTGGTAACACCAAGCAGGGCAGGGACAGGGGCTCCAGGCTCTCCCACACGAGTGTTCCAAACCTTAGCCTGGAATTAGGACACTTCTATTTTGGCTTTCCCTTTGCCTTTCCATGGTTTCAGGGACTCCATGCTCAGCAGGGGTGTTGGTCTCAGTACATTAAAGCATTCCAGTTTCAGACCAGTACAGGCATCCCTACACCTCCAGCTGTCAGCAGGCATATCCTGGGACACCAGGCAGCTGGTTGCACCACCACCAGTGTTTCCAGAGGCTCGTACACATAGTGACTCTCTCTAGCCTGCATGCAGGGTGGCTAGCACCACTGCCCCATCAGAGTTCCTCGCTGTGGCAAGGCTCTGATCGCTCATCTCCTGCAGGACATCCTCCTCCAGCTTCAAAAGTATTTGACTCACTTGGCCCAGCTGAGCCCCTTACTTCAGCACTGAGCTAAGCCTATTGCCTTCGCTGTGACTTCAAGGAGGACATTTTGTAGCTATTTTACTTGCTGGCAGGTAGTGTTTCCTCCCAACAGTCCCACAACATGGTTCTCCAGCCACAGAGATGGGCAAAGCCAGACAGAACTTGAGTCCTGACTTTCTCCCACCTGCCTGCCTCTTGCAGGGAAGTAGGCTGGACCTGCAGGGTCAGAAACCATCATCCAGCTCTGACTGCTCTCGGCCACGTAGACCTCTCCCCTGCAATTTTCTCAGGGCTGGGGGGCCCTCCAGGCACTTCAGCCAGGAGGAGGCTTTGCCCAGGAGCCAAGGTGCAGAGGCCAGGGTCGAACCAGCCAAGCAGAGACCCACAGGAGCAAACACCAGGGCAGGGGAGAGAGGAGAGCCCAGTTTCTGGCACAAGACACAGGGAGCGACTCACCTGAGCGTGAAGAGCAGCGGCCGCAGCGGCGGCTGCTGGGTATGTGAAGGCGGCATGGGGGATGGCAGGGGTTAGCTCCGTGGTGTACAGTGGGTAGGGAGCCCATGCTTCTGGGGACGCTGGAATAAGAGCCGCTCCAGTCAGGTCATCTAGACAGGAGGAGGAAAGGTGACAGCATCTCAGTAGCTGGCCACAACAGCCTGTTTCAGGGACAGGCCCTGGATTTCCAATCCAAACTAAAGCTTTGTGCTGCCATCTCGGTGAGGTATAAAATATAGCACCCCTGTGGCATCTGTGACCAGCTGCTCCTCCAGCCTCCCAGCCTTGCCAAGAGAGGCCAGGAACACACTCCATCACACTGCTCAGCACCCCACACGGGCTTTGGGCAAGCTAGTTCACAGACACAGCACAGGGCTGGTGCCACAGGGTGGCAGGACAGGAGTCAGGGCTCTCAGCACCACGCTACAGGCTGCCCAACAAGCCTCAGCAGGGCTGCTCAACCCAACAGGCTACACTGAGGGTGCATGGCACAGGACTCATCCTTTCTGCTTCACACCTAGGAGTGGTTTAAGTGACTTATGGTATCCCTTAAGCTACCAAAACCAACTCTGCACTCCCAACATTTCTAGTGTTGGCCAGAAGCCTTACCAGATGTCTGTTATTCTCCTGCAGCCCTAACATGCTGGCCTTCCCACACCAGGCAGATTTCAGCCAGAGCACACATGGGTATGGTTTCCTTTCCACCCTGGCAACATACCCAGGGTTGGGCATCTCCCAGGTTGGACCAGCTGCAAGCTCAAAGTCCCTCCCAGCATACTCACAGGGGTCCCGTGCAATGAAGTGTGCGCCCAAGGCGGGGTGGATATTGGTGGGGTTTGGTGTAGCCATCAGCTTGCTCTTGGCCATTTTTGTGTTGGCTTTTGCAAACTCTAACCGCAAGGTCTGGGGGTTCTCTGGGTCGAAGCGGATGCCCTGTCACAGAAGAAAGCACAGGAATCTCTCAGAGGTGAAGTTTCCAGTCCAATCACAGGCTGTGTCTATTCACAAAGCAAAGCCCAATCAGGGAACCAAGGCCATCACACTGCAGTCACATGCCCAGATTTTTGTCACCTCACTGCGACACAAGCTCCCACATGCTTGTATTTGTATGTTTAGCTGGCCTAGGACCACTGCTTCCAACAGGAGGGGGACAGTTTTGCTCCTTATGTGCACTTCACCAACCAGCATAGCTGTGATGGCTACCAGCCCTGGTCAGGAAAGACCGGTCTACTGGAGCTGGGGTAATCCCATCTATACTGGAGCTCTGCCAGCCTGGGCAGAGACACCAGCACATGCCCCAGTGCCCAAAGCAAGGTCTACAGCAGACCAGAACCAGATCAGCACATCCTGCTGCCTGGATTCCACTAACTTCTGCAGGTCCACATGGGATGGAGATCATTTTGGGTATACCTGCCATGTTGACCATCCTCAAGTCTTTTACTTGAGCTGCAGCATTTTGGAAATGCTGTGGATCTGCTAAAGAACCCTTACCAGACAGCTTTGACCGTGCCTCATGCCCTGCCATGGAAGCAGCAGCATGGAAAGGCTGGTTTCCTTCCTTTCTGAAGTAGGTACCTTCTGGCTGCAGAGGTCCTGGCAGGCCAGAGTCCAGGACAAGGACCTGCTCTGCAGAACTGCCACACGATTTTCATCAGGGCATTTGGTAAGTGAGGCTTTAACAAGGCTGCTATCACCAAGCAAGTTCTACAGTCAGACAACAAACCAGCTTTGCTATAAGCCTGCTTCACTACCCACATACCCCTGTGAGCCTGACATAGAGCCTCAAAAAGCTGATGCTAAACACAAGTTGAGCTCTGCATGCCTCATTACAGCATTACAGGGTGTCAACTGGGTATCACCCCGGCCTGCATATGCCTGGGAGCCCCCAACACCTCCCTTATCTCTTTGCTAAGGACTGGATCCCCAGAGAAGACCTGCCTGCTTCAGGTAGGCCAAGCCAAGCTAGGATGAGCCCCCACCTCAGTGCTCAGCGATGACAGAAGGCGGAAAAGCTCCTTCAAGAGTAGCTCTGGCTACACATCAAAACACATAGATAATCCATGCTCATTTGAACAAGGCGGGGGGCAGTCCCTCAGTCCACAACTCTTCCCCATATAGGGGGGAGCACTTAATGGAAGAGGAAAAGGATCCACAGTCTGGATCCTGTTATCAGAGGCCAACTGTTGAGTATGGAGGTGCATGCTGAGTCAAGAAGAGAAGTAGCTGTTCTTTTCCCACACTCAGAGGCCCTGCAGCAGCCTTCCAGTGGTCAGAAACTACACCTAGTCTAAGCATGGGACAGTCTGCATCCACTTGTTTAGGCTGATATCAGGCTTAAACAGCTCTCCTGCTTCCTGGTGGGATGCTGCAGGGCCACTTAGCTTCCAGACTCAAGGGCACAGCTGAGACACTCTGACCCTTCCTATGCTATGGACAAGCCAAACATCACTCTAAGCCCACAGCTTCAGGTCTAAGTACAGCAGTGTGTACGACCCCCAGCCCACCCTGGCGCCTCCCAGCACATTGGGTACTCACATTCAAGGCGTTCTTTGCTGCTTCAGCACCAGCTCGGCTGTCAAATGTCACAAAACCAACTGGCTAAAAGAAATAATGCTGATTTCAGTTTGGAAGCCTCTTCTACCTCCTCATAGACAACCCTGCCACCCCCTCTGCCCCAGAGAGCTTACAGCAAGTCGAAGACACCATCTAAAGCTACAGAAGGCCTTCAAGCAGAGCTTGAAGGGTCTTGGGTCATTAGCCCAAGATTCCTGCTCCGTGTCTGCTCCCACCACACCAAAATGCTTTGACATTCATACATATGGGGGCACTGGTCACCCTGGTAGCCCCCAGCAAGGGTACCCGTTGCCCACAAGGAGAACTACTGCTTTGGTTAGGATGGGGCTGGGGAAGGTTTCTGACAGCACAGGGTTTGAGGCAGAAGCATCAGCTCTCACCCAGCCACATGGCCGTGGGCAGCAATAGACAATATGTGGACATTCAGCACATGCTGAAAGCTCGGGGCCACGAGGACAGTGGGAGTGAGCAGAACCCAGCTGTATACATGGTGCTGAACACAGACAACACTTTACATAGTGAAATGGTATCTGTCCCCCCCTCCCCTCCTGGCGTGTCTAGTTTTCTAGAAAAAGCAAAAAAAGTAGCCAAGCTGGAAGGAGGTACCTGCTTTGAAGTTAGCTTGATCAGTGACCCTTCATAACCCTGCAAGAAAGTAAGTCAGTGTCAGGTTCCTGAAGGAGTCAAGCCACAACTGAGACATGATGTGACAGCTCCAGGAGTTCCTGTAGCACCAAACCCTTCATAAGGCAGGGTTTGCAGCAGGAGCAGTTACACTTCTTTCCCACCAATAGAGAAGACAGAGATTAGACTAAGGGCAGAGCAGGTATCTTGGCTAGTCCATCCTGGCCCTTTGGGAAGAACTCCCATTTTCTAGCTCTTCATCAAGCAACTAAGATAAGCACCCTGCCTGGCTAGTGCCTAGAGAGCACAGAGCACCATGTGCTAGAGGAGTGCAAACAAAGGAACCCCACTTCCAAGGACAGCCTACACAGTGATCCGGTGAAGGAGGGACAGTTAGGAGGATCAGGACACATCCACAAGGAAGGGTTGGTCCAGTTGGGCAGCAGGGATGACCAAGCAACCTTCATTGAGCTTGGAGACAGCATGATTTCAACAACAGGCGTGAGGGGAAGTTACCCAGCTGAGTACAAGCCATGGATACCATGCTGGTTTCATACCAGGTTCCCCAAGCTTTCACAGAAGGCCTACCTTCCCATTTCATCCTTGCTTCCCCTCTGATAGGGATCTTTGCTGCAAGGTTGGCCACAAGACAGCATCTTTCCCACCAAAGGTCAAATCTGAAGACCTTCTTACCTTAAATGGTCGGAAAAGTAGGTAGAGCTCTCTGGGCTTGATATCCACAGGAAGACCACTGACAAACAGTGTCCGTACCTAGGAGAGAGGTCAATGAGGTCTACTGAAAGGAGATGCTTAGTACCAAAGTGAAAGTACAGAGCACAGTTCAGAAGCTAGGTGCAATAAGAGTAGGACACCTTGCACCAAAGGTGGCCTTGCAGGCACTGTCCTTTCCC